CCCCCCCCCCGCAAGGCTAGTACTCTACAACTTAATCCCACAGCTCCATTTTTGGCTTTCAGGTGGTTAATTAGAGATAAAAAGTCTCATGGACTTTCTTGTCCTGACTGGCTTTGAACTGCAATCTTCATATCTCAACATTTTGTGTAACTAGGATTGCAGGTGAGAACTACCAGTGCTCAGCTAAGAGTCCAGGAAGTCTTAATTGTTTAATAGGCAGTGAGAAAGTTGAATTCTTTTAATTCCTTAAAATGTATAAATAGGAGCTGGAAATGTGGCTTAGTGGTAGAGTGCTTCATGCCTAGTATGCATGAAGTCCTGGGTTCGATCCTCAGTACCACATAAACAGAAAAAGCTACAAATAGTGCTGTAGCTCAAGTGGTAGAGTGCTATCTATCCTTGAGCAAAAGAAGCTTAGCGACCTAGCTACTCAGAGGTGAGATCTGAGGATCATGGTTCAAAGTCAGTCTGGGCAGGAAAGTCTGTGAGACTCTTATCTCCAATAAACCACTAGAAAACTGGAAGTGGTGCTGTGGCTCAAGCGGTTCAGCACTCACCTTGAGCTGAAGAACACAGGGACAGTGCCCAAGCCCAGAATTCAAGCCCCACGACTGACAGGGGCGATGGGGGTGGCGGGGAGAGCTTAGGGACAGGGACAGTGCCTAGACCCGAGTTCAAGCCCTAAGACTGGCCAAAAAAAAAAAGTACAAATAGGAAAATTGTTACTTGTTGCCAAAGTGAGGTGGCAGAGGCCTGTAATTCCAGTATTTGGGAGGGATTAATAGTACCAAGGTCTTCCTGGGCTTACATACTAAGAACCTGTATCAGAATGGCTGACAGGAGGAGAAGTAATTACACCTTGTACAATGCTTTGCAACTTCTTCATTTTAAAAGCAAATTCAGGGCTGGGAAGATGGCTCAGTGGTAGAGTGCTTGCCTTGCATGCCTGAGGCCCTGGGTTCGATTCCTTAGCACCACATAGCAAAAAGAAAAAAGCCGCGGAGGTGGCGCTGTGGCTCAAGTGGTAGAGCGCTAGCCTTGAGCTGAAGAGCTGAGGGACAGCGCCCAGGCCCAGAGTTCAGGCCCCACTACTGGACCCCCCCAAAAAAATAATAAATAAAAGCAAATTCAGGGGATATGGGCAATGATGAAGGGTTGAGTCTGATCAAGGAACTTTGTGTGAATATATGGACATGTCAAATGAGACCCTTGCTAGGTTTTGGTGGCTCAATTCCTATAATCCTAGGTATTTGGGAGAATAAAATCTGAGGATCTAGCTACTCAGGAGACTGAGATCTGAGGATCACGGTTCAAGGCCAGCCTGGGCAGGAAAGTCCATGTGACTCTTATCTCCAGTAAAACTAGTAGAAAACCAGAAGTGGCGCTGTGGCTCCAGTGGTAGAGCGCTCATCTTGAGCTGAAGAGTGCAGGGACATTGCCCAAGCCTAGAGTTCAAGCCCCACAACCGACGAAATAAAAATAAAAAAGATCTGAGGATCACAGTTTGAAGCCAGCAAGGACAGACAAATCCAAGAAAATCTTAAGGTCCAATTAACTAGCAGAAAAGCTGAAAGTAGAGATACAGTGATAGAGCACTAGGACTGAGTGAGAAAACTAAGGCAGACCTTGAGGCTGAAGTCTTAGCACTGGTGTGCACACACATACAAATTTAATGAGCCAGGTTTGGGAATATATGCCTGAAACCCCAAGATTTAACTATAAGGTTAAGGCCAGCCTGAACTACATAACAAGAGGCCGAGGGGAGAAATGCATTCAAATTTCTTGATCACAAGTCAGTACACCGTTATAATTCATATACTAAAGTGCCTCTAGAAATGTCTGACTTCCCTAGCCTCCAACCAGGATTTTAAATGGACTGAGCTAGGTCCTACAAAGGCCAGTGTTTGTTTTGTTTTTGTTTTCTGTCCGTCCTGTTGCTTGAACTCAGAGCCTGGGCACTGTCTTTGAGCTTTTCTGTGCTCAGAATGCTCTACCATTTGAGCCACAGTGCCACTTCCAGCTTTTCCTGTTTATGTGGTACTGAGGAATATTTGAGGAATCAAACCTAGGGCTTCATGCATGCTAGGCAAGCATTCTACCATTAAGCCACGTTTCCAGCTCCTAGGGCAGTATACTTTTAAGTATGTTCAAGCTTCACAAATACACCTGTATTTTTCAATAATTTGTATGAATATTCATTTGCCAATTTTTATTTCTCCTACCCATACAACTATGCTGACTGGAATATCATTTTAGCTATAGTAATGGTTGTTGAAAAGTCTTGTTATGCTGGGCGCCGATGGCTCACGCTTGTAATTCTAGCTACTCAGGAGGCTGAGATATGAGGATCACGGTTCAAAGCCAGCCCAGGCAGGAAAGTCTGTGAGACTCTTATCTCCAATAAAAACCACTAGAAAACCAGAAATGGCATTGTAGCTCAAGCGATAGAGCGCTTGCCTTGAGCTGAAGAGCTGAGGGACAGCGCCCAGGCCCAGAGTTCAAGTCCCACGACTGACCAAAAAAAAGAAAAAAAGAAAAGTCTTCTTATATATATATATTCCAGGTTGCTCTAAAACTTGCTGTGTATCCCAGTCTGACCTTGAATTCACAATCCTCCTGTTTTAGCTTCCCAAGTGCTGGGATTATAGATACGTACTACCATACAAGATGTACATATATTGTCAAACTGGTGTGCTGCTAATTAAATCGTTTATTTGCTTAAATGTGGACCTATCCTGCTCATACCTAATGTTCCAAATGTCTTTTTTGAATGAGTTGCCTTATTGTATGACCCTGTTTTATTTTTGTTCTTTACAGTGTGAGCCCCATGTTGTGTTGATGCTGGTGTGCCATGCTAGCCTGTCTACCAGGGCCAGGTGACCTGTCCTTTCAGCTTCTTTCTCACACGCAGATGAACACTGGACTTCAGAAATGTAAGTCATTTAGATTCCCAAGGAAGGATGTATGATTCTTTTGTTTGTGCCTACATGTAGGCCATCCCAGAATACATCTGGGAACATTAATCCTGAATTTTGCTACCTTCGAGGTATATGAAGCATATATAGAGGGACAGCAGGAAAGCAGCTGCAAAGGCCCAACCTGTCAGCAATGTGAGGTACTTATGTGCTCAAAATCTCTTTAATACTCCAAATCCTTAATGATCTTCACTTTAATTGTTGGTAGTAGCTTTCTGTTAAGCAAAAGAACTAAGCCGAGCTGTTGGCTCACGCCTGTAATCCTAGCTACTCAGGAGGCTGAGATCTCAGGATCACGGTTCAAAGCCAGCCCGGGCAGGAGAGACAGTGAGACTCCTATCTCCAATAAACCACTAGAAAACCGGAAGTGGCGCTGTAGCTCAAGTGGTAGAGCGCTCGCCTTGAGCTGAAGAGCTGAGGGACAGCGCCCAGGCCCAGAGTTCAAGCCCCACGACCGACAAAAAAAAAAAAGACTAGAGGACGGACACAAACACACACACACACACACACACACTACACCACCACCCTTCAAAAGGAGACACAAACACACACACACACACACACTACGCCATACCACCACCCTTCAAAAGGTGCTGCAACATAGCTGGGTACTAGTGACTCATGCCTGTAATCCTTGGTTCCAAGCTGGCCCACACAGAAAATTTAGTGAGACTTATCTCCAGTTAACCACCAAAAAACTAGAAGTAGAGCAATGGCTTACATGGTAGAGCACCAGCTTTAAGTGAAAGAGCTAAGAGACAGTGTCCAGACCCTGAGTTGAAGCCCCAGTACCAGCACAAAAAGAAAAGGCACTACAGTTTGAAGAACTGGATGAAGACTCATATTCTAGTTAAACTGTGTCTCTAAAACTATACCATGTTCTACCATGGAAATAATTCCCTTTGGTATTACTGTCTGTCTTTTGAGCCAGTTGACTTCAGTTCACAGAAAGTAAAGGAGCTTTTACCCTCAGAAGAATTGGGAACTAGCTCTCTTAGGCTCTCTGGGCATTTACCTGCCAATGTATTTCCCACAAGATTGAGCCTTTGAGAACTGTGTAAGATTCCTGTCTTAATTGGCTAGAGTTGGAACATAATATAGTTCACAGTTTCTCAGATTACTGCATTCTATCCTCATACGACATGATATGCAAGGAAAATATTCTATTCCTGGCTCATTACTACATATTTTGTATTTTTATGTATAAAATGGCCCAGAATTTGCAAGAGAATATCCTTTCAGAGCAAAGGGGGAATCAATGGAGCAGTGAAATTTTCCTTTAGTCAGACAAAATGCTTCAGCACGTTATTTAAATCCTTCATGACAGGCATTAAACTTTTTTTTTTTGGTTGGTTGTGGGGCCTGAACTCTGGGCCTGGGTGCTGTCCCTCAGCTCTTCAGCTCAAGGCTAGCACTTTACCACTTGAACCACACCACCACTTCCGGCTTTTTCTGCTTATGTGGTGCTGAGAAATCGAACCCAGGGCCTCATGCATGCAAGGCAAGCACTCTACCACTGAGCCACCTTCCCAGCCCCAGCAAACTTTTTCTGTAAATTCCAGATAGTAGATATTGTTAGCTTTATGTAAGTGCACACTGCCTCTATTGCATCTATTTGACTCTAGGACAAAGGGAGCCAACATGTAAACAAATAAGTGTAATGTTCCAATTAAATTTCTTACAAAACCACACAGCAAATCAGAAGCTGGTAGCTCATGCCTGTAATCCTAGCTACTTAGGAGGCTGAGATCTGAGAACTGCCATTCAAAGCCAGTTAGGGCAGTAAAGTCTATGAGACTCCAATTAACCACCAAAAAGCCAGAAGTGGAGCTATGACTCACGTCATTAGCTTTGGGCAGAAATGTTCAAGGATAGCACACCAGGCCCTTGGTTTAAGCCCGAGGACCAACAAAAAAACAATGACAAAAAAAAAATTCCCACACAGCAGCTGAACTTGGTGCAACTCTTATTCTTTTTTTTCTTTTTTTTTGTCAGTCGTGGGGCTTAAACTCTGGGCCTGGGCGCTGTCCCTCAGCTCTTCAGCTCAAGGCGAGCGCTCTACCACTTGAGCTACAGCGCCACTTCCGGTTTTCTGGTGGTTTATTGGAGATAGGAATCTCACGGTCTCTCCTGCCCGGGCTGGCTTTGAACCGCGATCCTGAGATCTCAGCCTCCTGAGTAGCTAGGATTACAGGTGTGAGCCACCAGCGTCCGGCGGTGCAACTCTTATTCTGTGAGATCATCAACCATTAAAAAAGTGATCTAGGGGGCTGGGAAGGTGGCTCAGTGGTAGAGCGCTTGACTTGCATGCTTGAGGCCCTGGGTTCAATTCCTCAGCACCACATAAGCAAAAAGAAAAACGCTGGAAGTGGCGCTGTGGCTCAAGTGGTAGAGCGCTAGCCTTGAGCTGAAGGACAGCGCCCAGGCCCAGAGTTCAGGCCCCACAACCGGACCCAAAAAAAAAAAAAAAAAAGTGATCTTGCTTCAGGCTAGAAGGTATGGCTCAAAGTAAGCACAAGGCCTTGAGTTCAGACCCCAGTACTACAGCAGGAAAAGCCACCTGGGGGCTGGGAAGGTGGCTCAGTGGTAGAGTACTTGCGTTGCATCCATGAGGCCCTGGGTTCAATTCCTCAGCAACACATAAGCAGAAAGAGTTGGAAGTGGTGGTGTGGCTCAAGTAGTAAGAGTGCTAGAGTTGAGTTGAAGAGCTGAAGGACAGCCCCCAGGCTCAAGGTTCAGGCCCCAGGACTGACCAAAAAAAAATTTTTTTTCTTGAGAGAGCAGAAAACCCATAACCTAGCTTGTCCTGTAATTCGATTTGTCTGATGAACATTCAAGGCTGAAGTGACCATCTTCTCTATCTGGCTTACTGACACAGTAAGCAAATTCTTTCTGCTATGCCATACTTTCTCATCTCAGCCTAACCCGCCTACCTACACTCTCCCACATACACATACATTCAGCACATTACATTGTATCTAGCTTTTGCTTCTACAAACAAAATTAGAGAGGAAATATACTTGGAAATATACAATAACACAAGGAGAGAAGCTTTATATTTTACTTCTATATTCTTTTTTTTTTTTTTTGGTCGGTCGTGGGGGCTTAAACTCTGGGCTTGGGCGCTGTCCCTGTGCTCTTCAACTCAAGGCGAGCGCTCTACCACTTGAGCCACAGCACCACTTCCAGTTTTCTAGCAGGTTTATTGGAGATAAGAGTCTCACGAACTTTCCTGCCTGGGCTGGCTTTGAACCCTGATCCTCAGATCTCAGCCTCCTGAGTAGCTAGGATTACAGGCGTGAGCCACCAGCGCCCGGCTTACTTCTATATTCTTTAACATACTCTGACACCTTCCTCCATAGGTGTGATATAAAAAGGAAAAGCCTTCTGACAAGCATGGTGGCCCACACCAGCAATCCCAACACTCAGGAAGCTTAGGCTGTAGGAACATAATTACAGGCCAGCCTAAGCTACATAGCAAGTCCCCAAATCATCTTGGCTATGGGTAGGCTCTATAACTAGACATAAACAGGTTGCGTTAGGTGGATACCCTGCTAGAGTTTTTTGGGAGCAGTACTTGGGTTAGGACTCAGGGTCTTGTCCTTGTTAGATACTTTACCACTTGAGCCGCATCCCAGACCTTCTAGAACTTTTCTACATTGCACATAAGCCATGATGTCACATATTTTTGAGAACCTTCAGCCGTTTTGGAACTATGTACTTAGAAATTTGTTGTTTTTCTGGCCCATCTTCTCCCAATACCCCAGACATTCTTTCTTCCTTAACTTTGAACCTTTACTTATTTCCATGGCTTAGCCTCAGATATGTAGTAAAGACTTAGCAGATATTCACCATATAAATGGCTGAAATATTTAAGGTTTCTTAGTCCTCATCAGCTTTTCTTTTTGGCAGTAACAGTGGTTTGAACTCAGCCTCATACTTGATATGCAAGTGCTCTATTGCTTGAGCCATGTCCCTAGTGTCACACCGACTTTTAGATGACCACTTTGACTCTTTCAAGTGGCCTTGAAGGAGTGTCCTGGACAAATGCTGAAATGATTGTTTACTACTTCTTCAGATACCTGTCTGCCCCCTAGTGGTGGAAGGGTATGGAAATGTTGAATTGACCCTATGATTGGATAAAATTGTAGTAATAGCTAACAATGGAGTACATGCCATGTATCAGGCACTGTGTTGAATGTTATATTTATCTGCATACATTAGCTATACAAAGGGATTTCTCTTGTAACATTTTTACACATGCATATCCTGTATCCCAATCAACCTCACCCCATCTACCACTTTCTTCCTTACCTCCTGAAAACAATTTCAGCAATTTCATTCTATTTTCATACATGCAAAAAAAGTACTACCATATTCATCTTTTACACCCTTCTTATTAGCTCCCCTCTCTCCTGCTGGTACCCACTACCTTCCATATGTTTGTGTTTGTTTTGTCTTTTTGAGTTTTGATCTTACTACATTGGCCAGGCTGTTCTCAAACTTCTAGGCTAAGTCGATCTGTGCTTCAGCTTTTGGAGTAACTAGGACTGCTAGCAAGTGTCATTGTATGAATGAGGCATAGAGGGTTTGTCTCTTAACTGTGTCACACGATTGTTCAGCACTAACTGAGCTGGAACTCACATTTAGATCAAACTCTGAAACCTATATTTATAATACATTGGATATGCTACCCATGTATTCTGACTTTCAAAATAAAAGGAAAAGCAGGCAAGTCTGGGGAAGATAAGATTCTAGAATTTTTTTTCCTTCGTCTACAGACAAACAATAGTGCTTCCTGCTACCTCTAACTCTCATTTGACTTGAGTCATATTTAAGTTACATTTACCTTAAGGCCAAGAGTTTACAGTTGGGTTTCTTTCTTTTAATTTGATTTCTTTGTCTCACATATGTGCAGACTTAGCCAATACTGCTATTCTTAAATGCCTATCAGAGTCATGGTCTTTGTTCAGGAAGTATTTTCCTGTTCCTTGAATCTCTTTTTTTTTTTTTTGGGGTCCGGTCATGGGGCCTGAACTCTGGGCCTGGGTGCTGTCCCTCAGCTCTTCAGCTCAAGGCTAGCACTCTACCACTTGAGCTACAGCGACACTTCCGGTTTTCTGGTGGTTTATTGGAGATAGGAGTCTCACTGTCTCTCCTGCCTGGGCTGGCTTTGAACCGCAATCCTCAGATCTCAGCCTCCTAAGTAGCTAGGATTACAAGCGTGAGCCACCAGCGCCCGGCTTCCTTGAATCTCTTGATCTTGGTAGTAAGAGAGCAGATACTGTTTCTGCTGATGAATGAGGAATGACCCAGACTCACTAGGCAGATGATAAAACTCTACTCTAGATCTATTTTCTCTAGCCATACACTCTATATTCTTTATGCTGCCTTACCTCTGTGGACACTGTGTACCAGATATTTAAGTAGATGAGTTTATTTTTTTGTGCTTTTGATAAAAGTATATTTAGTAGTAAAAGCATGAAAAGTCATAAATAAACCAGGTTCCTATGAGCTGGCGCCTATAATCCTAGCTACTCAGGTGGCTGAGATTTGAGGATTTGTTAGAAGCCAGCCCAGGCAGGCAAGTCTATGCAACTTTTTTTTTTTTGGGGGGGAGGGGGGTTGGTCACGGGCCTGAACTCTGGGCTTGGGTGCTGTCACTCAGCTCTTCAGCTCAAGGATAGTGCTCTACCACTTAAGCCACAGTGCCACTTCTGGCTTGTGCTGTTTATGTGGTACTGAGGAATCGAACCCAGGGCCTCATGTATTCAAGGCAAGCACTCTACCATTGAGCCACCTTCCCAGCCTTCTGTTAGACTCTTATTTCCAATAAGCACAAAAGCTAAGGGACAGTACCCAGGCCCTTATGCCTCTGCTAGGGAAAAAAAAAAAAATTGAGAGTCAGTACAGCCTTGGAACAAAGAAACTTTTGTATTCAACAAGCCACTGACTGTACCACAGTCTCCTGCTTGGATTTCAAGCAGAGAAGACTGCTAACATGGACATGGGCTATAGAACCCAGATAGCAGACATGCGTTTCCTCTCTGAAGAAGCAAAACTCACCAACTCAGTTTGACAACTAAGTTGTCCCATTGATTGTTCAGTTGGCAGAACTGAATTAATAGCACTTATCAAGTATCTGCTCTGGATAAAGCCCTATGTTAGCCTGTGATTCTGACCACACACTTAAGTATAATGGCTGACAAGGGAGCTTCTGTTGGAATACTGAGTTGAGATTTAGGAATTAGCTTTCAAAAATCTCAAACCTGTTGGTGTTGTTCTAGGTCTTTTGTTGTTTTCTGTTTTGTTTTTGTTTTGTCCCTGGGATTTATTTTTGGGGGGAGGTCAATTGTGGGTCTTAAACTCTGGGCCTGGGTGCTGGCCCTGAGCTCTTCAGATCAAGGCTAGCACTCTACCACTTGAGCCATAGCGCCACTTCCGTTTTCTGGTGGCTAATTGGAGATAACTCTCATGGATCTTCCTGCTCCTGACCAGGCTTGCTTTGAACCACCATCCTCAGATCTCAGCCTCCTGGTGCCTGGCTATCCACAGTTCCACTTCAGGCATTTTGGTGGTTAATTGGAGTCTTAAGGATTTTTCTGCCCACCTGGCTTCATAATCCTCAGATTTCAGCTTCCTGAGTAAGTTGGGTTACAGGCGAGAGTCCACCAGCACCTTGGGGTTTTTTTTGTTTGTTTGTTTTTTGTCGGTCGTGGGGCTTGAACTCTGGGCTTGGGCACTATCCATGTGCTCTTCAACTCGAGGCACGCGCTGTACCATTTGAGCCACAGTGCCACTTCCGGTTTTCTAGTGGTTAATTGCAGATAAGAGTCTCACGGACTTTTCTGCCTGGGCTGGCATTGAACTGTGACCCTCAGACCTCAGCCTTCTTAGTAGCTAGGATTACAGGCATGAGCCACCAGCGCCCGGCTTTTGTTTTTAATCTTTCTCAGAAGAATGTAAGAAAGGCCAGAAAGGGGCTGGGAAGGTGGCTCAGTGGTAGAGTGCTTGCCTTACATACATGAGGCCCTGGGTTTGATTCCTTAGCACCACATCAGCAGAAAAACCGGAAGTGGCGCTGTAGCTCAAGTGGTAGAGCGCTCACCTTGAGCTGAAGAGCTGAGGGACAGCGCCCAGGCCCAGAGTTCAAGTCCCACGACCGACAAAAAAAAAAAAAAGAATCTCACAGATGTTCCTGCCTAGGCTGGCTTTGAACTGCAGTTCTTAGATCTCAGCCTCCTGAGTGGCTAGGATTATAGGCTCAAGCTATCAGTGCCTGGCTCATATTCATCTTTTTAAGACCTTCCTGAATCACGTTTCACAGACATTCTACTTATGTATAAACATCTATTCTGTAATCAGCAAATAAAGCAGGTCCTTGTTGGAATATCTACTAAGAATAGTCATTGCGCTAATATATAGAAGCACTGGCTTTTTCCTTTATATATGTTTCCTTTTTGCTTAGGTCTGCCTTTTTTAGCATGGGACCAAATCTCTCTGCCCTTCCTGGACTTGAGCTTTTCTTTCCTGCTTCAGAGAGCAGCAGCAGTTTCTAAGCAGTTGCTGCCAGCTAGCTAGTAATGTCACCAAATACAGGCAGCTGTGCCCTGTTGCCTTCCAGCATACTCACTAAGTTGATTCTCAGTGATGTGACTTTGAATGGGGTCTCCTTTGGGCTGTAGCCAGCTGAGACTACCAGCTGGGCATTCAGCAAATTAGTCCTTGGTCTATCTATCTATCCTGGCTGTGTTTTGCAAGGGAGGAAGTCAGCTAGCTGAGTCCAGGCTTTCAGCCAAGCCACTTGTGCTTTGGGCAGTCTGTATATTTACTCATTCAGCAAGCATTTATTAAACACCTTTTGTGTATATGCAGGGTAGACCCCTCCTCTGAGAGAGCTAGAACTAAGAAATGACCCCTTACAAGAGCCCTACCTCCTTAAAGAACTCTTGTTCTGGGAATCTTTTCCTTTTTGACTGGAAGCCCGACATCCGCTGGAGCCCCCTGATGGGAGGCACCGGGAGATGAGAACAAAGAGACTGTTAACATTAATGAGGCCCATGGAATGGGCATTTCCGCAGTCTCCAAAGGAAGGCAGGTTTTTGAAAATGACAGCTGACATGGACCAAATACAGATTATTTTTGGCTCCTAGACCTTAAAGATGTTCTGACTCCTTCTCAATTCTCTCCCTTCTGTCCTGTTATTTATTATCACCCTCCCTCCACACAGGCAAATAAATAAAAGCCTTTTGATCTCCACCCTGTCAGGCAGTGAGTAAACTGTAAACAAAAGTAAATTGGGGACGGGGAGAGATGTTGGCAGCGTCTTCCTCCTCTCCTGAGAAAGAAATGTCCTGTTCACTGTGCCAGCTGGGCATGTCCACTCATGGTCATGCACTGCAGCTGCCAAGACACAAGAAATGCTGATGCCTCACTGGCCACTGGAGACCGAAGAGTAGGAACTCTGGGGACCTTCTTTACCAGAGGGTCCAGGGAAAGGATTGAGTAGCCGCCAAGGGCTTTGACATGCAGCTCTGTTTAGAACTTTCCACCTCCACCCCAACTTACCAGTTGTTCCATATAGCAAAAGAAACTCTTGGTTACCTTTGAGAAATGGCCAGGATACAGATATAGGACTTGGAAAGTTGCTTTGCCATTTTGATCCTTAGTAACCTCATTTATAAAAATGGGGCTCATGATAATCCTTGCAGTAGTGAAGAGAGCCTGGCCCCACTATACATACTTAGTGGTTGTCAGCACTGCATGTGATTATGGGGTCTGAGGCTGGATCAAGAACAAAGGCTATAGATGACTGGCCAGTCCCCTACCACCACTCCCCAGGCCCTCAACAGAGGACTCTAGTAGGCCTGGTTGGCTTGGCACTGATGAGCTCCCTTTCTACTCTCCTTCCTCCCTCTCTTTCTCCCTCCCTCTCTCTCTCTCTCTCTTTCTCTTTCTCTCTCTAGGGGACACTACACAGAAAATGAGAACTGCTCACTATCCTACCCCAGCCGAATTGGACGCGTATGCTAAGAAGGTCGCAAACAACCCACTGACTATAAAAATCTTCCCCAACAGTGTGAAGGTTCCCCAGAGGAAACACGTTCGTCGTACTGTGAACGGCCTCGACACATCAGCCCAGCGCTACAGCCCCTACCCGACTCAGGCTGCCACCAAGGCAGGCCTGCTTGCTATTGTCAAAGTGCCAGCCAAAAGTATACTCAAGGACTTTGACGGCACCCGAGCCCGGTTACTCCCTGAGGCCATCATGAACCCACCAGTGGCACCCTATGCTACTGTGGCACCCAGCACTTTAGCCCACCCCCAGGCCCAGGCTCTGGCCCGCCAGCAGGCCCTGCAGCATGCACAGACCCTGGCCCATGCCCCTCCCCAGACGCTGCAGCACCCTCAGGGTATCCCGCCACCACAGGCACTGTCTCACCCTCAGAGCCTCCAGCAGCCTCAGGGCCTGGGCCATCCTCAGCCCATGGCTCAAACCCAGGGCTTAGTCCACCCACAGGCCCTGGCTCACCAAGGTCTCCAGCACCCCTCCAATCCATTGCTTCATGGAGGCCGGAAGATGCCAGACTCAGATGCTCCCCCGAATGTGACCGTGTCTACCTCAACTATTCCCCTTTCAATGGCGGCCACCCTGCAGCACAGCCAGCCCCCGGACCTGAGCAGCATTGTGCACCAGATCAACCAGTTTTGCCAGACGAGGGCAGGCATCAGCACTACCTCAGTGTGTGAGGGCCAGATCGCCAACCCCAGCCCTATTAGTCGCAGTCTGCTCATCAATGCAAGTACCCGGGTGTCGACCCACAGCATCCCCACACCAATGCCTTCATGTGTGGTCAATCCCATGGAGCACACCCATGCAGCCACAGCCGCGTTGCCTGCCACAGGTCCTGTCAACCTTCCTGCGGGCATCTCTCGAGCCCCCACTGGCTACCCTAGCGATCTCAAGCCAGTCACCTGGAACCAGCATCAGCTGGCCCACCTACAACATATGTGCACCGAGGCTGGTGGAACACCAGCCCCTGGCCTGACAGGCAAGCATCCAGCAGGACGTGAGTTGGCAGGGACTGGCTTTGTGGGCAAGGCCCCTGCCTACCCGCAGGAACTCTGCCTGGCACAGTCCTTCCATCTGAAGCCAACCCTGGAGAAGCCAACCCCATCTCCACCAGTCAATGGCCTGGCAGCCCCACTGGCCTACCCCAATGGTCACTACTTCCAACCCCTGTGGAACAACATTCTTCCCACTCCCAATAGCGACAGCTCGGGGTCTCAGGACCTCGCCATGCCATTTCATGGTGGGCAGCCCACAGGTGCACCCCTCGACTGTGCAGCAGCTCCTGGGGCTCATTACCGAGCAGGGACTGGGGGTGGTCCAGTGGCAAGCCAGAACAGCTTGATGCAAACGGTGGATTACCTGAGTGGGGATTTCCAACAGGCCTGCTTTCGAGAACAGAGCCTGGCTATGCTGAGCAAGGCCCACCGAGCCCCTTCCACCCGTGCTCCTGATCCCACAGATAGTCGAAGTCTTCATATTCAGCACCCAGGGTATAGATAGGGAGCCATGGTACCCTCCTCAGGCTACACTTCATACATCACCCTCCAAGGTTTAGTCTTACTTTTAAGTAACTGGGTAGTTTAAAAGTTTTGCTTCTCCAATGTGATCATTCTTAGATGACTAAAGAAGGGCATTTGGCAGGGAGTAGAAGGGATCCTCTTCCTCTTATCCCCTCAAGAAAATTTTTTGTTTTATGTTAGAACCTAACCCTAACCCCAGGCTTTTCTCTCCACTGCCTGCCTATTAGGCTTTCCACCTTGGCTATGTTTTTCCAGCCCTCTCTTATCTTTCCCTGCACCTTTGCCTGTTTCTCTTAGGACTGTGTGACTAAGGCCCCTAAAGCAGGCCTCTTCCTGTCTCTCTCTATGGGACTAAGAACTACCAGACTTTCAAAGTGCTCTGGAAGCTAATTCCTTATTCACCCAAAGACAAATCAAAACTCACCCAATGTTCATCTCCCAGCTCTTTCCCATTTTTCAAGGCTTTGTTTTACATTTATTCTGCTTCCTGGGCAGAACTTATCCTTGCCACACACTCCACCTCAAGGGCATCTTGCAGGTATTTGGCCATACCCTTGAGACATGGAGAAAAACTGCCTTTGTATTGGCCGCTTGGTTCCCAAGTTCCCTTCTAGACCTAGAGAAATGTAGTGGCCATCTGGCATAACCAGGATCCCCTACTCATGGTTGCCTCTCCCTGCTTAACTGCTGTCCTCAACCCTACCTCCTGCCCCCTCAAAGAAAAAGAAAAAAGAAAAAAAAAGAAAAAGGCAAAAGAGACAAAAAAAATCACACACACACACAAAAAACCCACAAAACCTTACCTTACTGAAGGAATCAGATAGGTAAGGGATGATCACATTGGAGTTTGGAACTAAAAACACCAAAAAAAAAAAAAAAAAAAAAGGAGGGGGAAAAGTTAAAATGCATTTGGTTCTCTACACTGGCTAAGAATATTGCTGTACACTGTAAGTTTTAAATGTCATGTTTCTGTATGAACGTAGTGTGGGTTTGAGTAGCATTGTGTATGAGTGGCCCCACAGGTACATTCACCCTTAGTCACCTCCTTTTGCAGCCCCTAAATTAATGAAGAAAGGAGAAAAAAAACACAAAGCCTTAAGCTCTTTGAATTCTTCCTCTACCAAATGAGCATGATTCTGACCACTGGAGAGGAGTCTACATTGGAAATAGCCTCTCTTTCCCTTTCACTCACTTTTAAAACCATCCTCCACCCACTCCATGCCCAACGCGTCTCATTCCCAAGTGACAGTTGGCTAGAAATCCACTTTTGTGTAACTTTAAACTTAGATTATGTTTTGTTGTAAAATTTTTGCACCTGTATTCTGTTAAAGATACCTAGTTGGGCTCAGTTTGCTTTTCCCCTCATTCCCCTTCCCCTTAAACCAAATAAGCCCTTAAACCTTTCCTCTTGTCTCTGGGGAATGTGAGTTGATATTTTTTAAGATTCTGGGTTCTGTTTACTATCCACTGTTCCTTAGCCAGAAATTCTCTAGTGATCTGAAGCAATGTGACTGAAGACCAGTTTTTAAATTATGTGTGGGCAAGTTGCCTTATATTTAAAAAAGAAAAAAAAAAGCCTGATTGTGTTATGCCAAATGATAGCAACATGAAGTCCTAATTTATTGTTCCTGATTGTTTTCCTGCCGTCTGTGAACACTGGTACCTCCCTGTCCCTGAGCCCTTGCAACTTTTGGTGTGCTGTCTCCTCCCAAGGTGTTGGTTATCCTCTTACCTGACCTTTCCAGCTCCCACATAACTATGTTCCCTACTTCTTGCTTGATCTCTATAATCAAATATTCTTACTGTAATTTTCCCAGTGCCGAAAGGGGAGCTGCCACTGTAGGAAACTGGACAAGACACCAACTTAGGGGCTTTCAAACAACCTCAAAACCACCTCTTCCTATGTAGGGGTGCAAGTCTCTGAAGCTCTCACTCCCACCTCTAGTCTGCATGGATAATGTACTGTGATTTCCCCACCCTACAATTAACTGCCCTCTCCTTCAGTGTGAGATGTTTCCTAGTTAAACCTGAGCCCCTCTGCCAGCCAACCCCCAACCAGCAATAAGGGTCCAAACTTGGACCTCCTGTCCACTTACTCCCTGCCTCCATCCCATGCTACTCCTAGGGAATACCTTGGATTCTCCACTCTATCCACATACTGTAGCATTCATTCTCCATCTCTCACCTCACCTGTGGTGGTTTATGGGTGTGATGGGGTTTTTAAGATTATTATAAACCAGTAAAAAGAAAAAACTCACCTTTGATCTTGTCCTATTCGTGTAATGTGATGAGTGTTTGAGGTGATTTTTTCTGTCTCACTAGAATGGGAATGACTCATTTGGAGGGGGTGGGGTTGGTGAGGGTCCTGTAGTAAAAATCCTCAGACTATGCTGTGCCACTGACTAGAGAGCATGCACGTGGGTATTTCAGCAAACCCAGAGTGGGGCCCAGCTGATGGCCTCTGCCCAGGCCCCAGGCTGGGCCGCTAGGGGCTTAGTGTGGAATTTCATTGGTAAGCATGATTTGCTGCCTCTTAGGGGACCAAAGGGTCTTATCACACTTTGGCCCCAGGGGCCATCAGCCACTGTGTTAAGGTCTAGTTTGCAAATAAGCTAACTAAAACGGAAGTTTCCCTTGTACCTCCAACACTGCAATTTCTGAGGGCCCTTAACTGGAGACACACGTTCTGTAATCTGGAAACTGTACCTCCACCTACCCACCTTAGTGATTTGAGTTTTCTCACGTGTTGAATTTTTTTCCTTGGGCTGGGAAGGTGGCTCAGTGGTAGAGCGCTTGCCTTGCATGCCTGAGGCCCTGGGTTCGATTCCTCAGCACCACATAAGCAGAAAAAACCCTGAAGTGGCACTGTGGCTCCAGTGGTAGAATGCTATCCTTGAGCTGAAGAGCCAAAGGATAGGACTCAGGCTGAGTTCAGGCCCTGTGACCCTCAAGAAAAAGTTTTTTTTAATTTCCTCTTATCTGCAAGGGTAGGAGAAACCCCAAAAGAACTACTTCAGTTACCTTCTTTGCTTTCTGGTAGATTCATGCTGATATGGAGGGAAAGACTGATTTTACAAAATATGGAATTTGCAATAAAATCAGCCTTTGGCCGGGCACTGGTGGCTCACGCCTGTAATCCTAGCTACTTAGGATGCCGAGATCTGAAGATTGTGATTCAAAGCAGGAAAGTCTCTAAGATTGTTATCTCCAATAAACCACTTAGAAACCCACAAGTGGCACAAGAGCACTAGACTTGAGCCGAAGAGCTGAGGGACAGTGCCCAGGCTCAGAGTTCAAGCCCATGACCAACCAAAAAAAAATTAACCTTTGGTAACAGGAGTTGATAGGCAGCGTGCTAAATGGAAGGAACCTTCATAGAGTTAAAAACACCCTTCTACCAGGCACTGATAGCTCATGCCTGTGATCCTAGCTACACAGGAAGCTGCGATCTGGGGAGCATAGTTTGAAGCCAGAAAAGTCTGGGAGATTAACCTCCAGTTAATTACCAGAAGACTAGAAGTAGAGCTGTGGCTCAAAGCGAGAGATTGCTAGCCTTGAGTGAAGAAGCATAGGCCTAAGTTCAAGCCCCACAACCCCCCCTCCAAAAAAGCCACCCTTCCCTCCTCAGCTTGCCATTCTCTGTGAGCCTATTTCCTTTATTCCTGCCATCCTAAGCTTTCAAATAAGACAGACCTATAATTTTAGCTGCTTGAGGCTGACACTTGGAAGATTGAAGTTTGAAGTCAGCCCAAGCAGAAAAGTCTAAGATTCCATGTCCAATTAGTAAAAGAATGGAGGTATAGCTGAGAGTACCAGCTGTGAGCTGAAAATCTGATCACATGAATTCCTGAGTTTACGCCCTGGTACCTGGACAAAAGACCTGCAACCCATCCAACATCACAGGAACTAACTCGACAAGTGAGTCAAACTAGTGATTCCTGGGCTGAGTTAGGTTCATGGGAATATCATACTCAGAGCCTAGCCTAGGTTCCACAAATTATTGGCATGAGGGCCAGGTTAAGCTGAGTGGTAGGGATGGGGAATTGTAGAATGCTGGTCATGAGCTGCCAGGCTGAGGACTGACACAAAAGGCAAATCCCAGAGCTGAGGCTGTAACAGTACAACCATGTACACAGCAAATGCAAGGCCCTAGATTGGATACCTTGGGGAGGTGCGGAGTAGAGGCCCTACCCAAAACCAGGTGAGGGAACACTGATAAGTCAACTCACTTCTGTTCAGTTAACTGTCAAAATGTGAGTAATCATAGGCACCCATTTAAGCTTGTGGAAGGCAAATGAGATAAGGATGAGGGTAAAAAAGTGTCTTATATGCCCTGAAGCCAAAGGCCCTTTTTACTAAGTTTAGTGCCTGGGTAGACTGAGTTTTGGATTAGATTAACATCCATTTGAGCTTATGTCTGTAACATCTCACTTCACTTAAATAGGGCCTTATGATGGCAGAAGCAACTCCGCTTGTATTAAAGCAAATACTGCAATAAAAGTGCTTAGCAGGGGCTGGGAATGTGGTTTAGTGGTAGAGGGCTTGCCTAGCAAGCATGAAGCCTAGGTTTGATTCCTCAGTACCACATAAACATAAAAAGCCAGAAGTGGCACTTTGGCTCGAGTGCCAGCCTTAAGCAAAAGAAGCTCAGAGACAGTGCCCAGGCTTTAAGTTCAAGTTCCAGGACTGGCAAAAATGAGTGCTTAGCACTGTTTACCACAAGAAGGCATCTGATGAATGGTAGTTACTGACGAAGAATAACCTATCTACAGCAGAACACTATGCTTTGAAGGATGGACAAGAGGGACTCCAATCTTCGAAGACAGGCAGGGTCTGCACCTGTTCCATCAAAGCACCAGAGGGCAGCAGCCAGCAACTTCCACACAAAGCCTGCTGCAGTTTCGCTGGAGGCCACTAGAGTGTAACACTAGGGCTGCTGGATCTTGGGACTATAGTAGGTCAGATCTTAGTGCAGAGTTCTTCACAGGCTCCTTAGCCTTCACTTGGGTCCAGCCTCCCAGGTCCCAAACCAATCCAGAGGAGATAGGCTGGCACAAAGTTAATAAATACAACTCAGGGTTTATTAAAAATCAGAGCTCCCCTGCTGTGACCTCCTAGCACTAAAGAAATAAATAACCAGAAGGGCCACAGCTGGAGAAAGGGGAAAAAAAATTAATCTCAAGGCAGATTCTTTTAACTACCCCTCCATTTCCCAACTCCCCCCTATGGCTCTTGGGACATAGCACCTGAGCAGGTGCCTCAGTCCAGGTAGAATGTGGCTGGCACCAAGGCATGTCTGCCCTGCCCAGGAAGGGAGACAGGCCCTGGGGATCACTTGTTTCCAGCCCTTGATAATCCCGAGACCTGCTCCCTCCAGGGATCAGGGATGAAGCACCGATTGGAGGCACCTGAGGGTGGTGGTAGGGGAAGAACAGGGTAACAGAACCTAGGCAGAAGTAGCAGAAAGGGGGGCCAGCCCCCTCTCCAGTTTCGGCCAGTGCCTGACTGAGGTCATGTCCTATCCCTTATACCCCTGGAGCTCCCCAGCTCTGCACTCAGCTGAGGATCTTCCGGGGCAGTTCAACAGAGGCACGGATGAAGACAGCATCATCTCGCACATAGTTTCGCTTTCGGATGTCTTGATGGGAGATGAACTTGGGGTATCCAAAACCCAGAGAACTCTCATCCAGGGAGCCTCTCCAAGTGCCAGGTTTTTGGAAATTCTTCCAGTTTGGGTCAGGGTGGAAGGTTTCAGTGACATGCTGTGGCTTGGCCAGCCCAGGGTCGCTCTGATCCAGCAGGGAGAAAGTGACACGTCGGGCAAAGGGCCACTCAAGGAGATTGTCAAAGGCACCTGGCAGTACACGAATGTACAGCGAGAGATGTGTGCCCTCGCCACTGCCGTTGCCGTTGAGGAACGCAGACACCTGCAGCTTGTAACCATACTTATGTGTGTAGAAAGCTGGGCTGAAGCACTCAAGGTTGGGCTTGGCCTTGGCCTCCTGTAGTCGCCGCCCATAGCTGCCAATCTTCCAGATGAGCACACCATCACTGCCCACTGATAGCTCCTCCAGCTCTCTGCGAAGGTCCTGCAGCTCCTGCCGCTGCCGGCTTACCAGAGCACACATCATAGCCAGATGAGGCTTCACACTCTCCTCCACGTGTCGTGCCATTGCCAGCTTAGGGCACTGTTGGTAAAGCCCCAGGCCATGGGGGGAATGGAGAAGTTACCAAAAGGGGAAGGTCCAGGGGAGAGAAGATGGAGAGGAAGAGTAGACATCTAACTCTGCATGAGGAAGACAGGGTGCTAGAAACAAGCAGAAACTAACTGACCAGCAGGGGAAAAATGAGGGTTCCAGAGCAGAGCCCACCAAGGCCTCACTGTGCCAGGAAAGCTAGCCTGTCCAGGACTTGAAGGGCTAAAGAGGAGCTGACAGGAAGGAGGAGGACTCTTACCCTGTGTTTACAGCCAGAATCTTTGAATGGGCAGAGTACCAAGGCGGTGCTGCAGCTGTCTTTCAAATGGCCTGCCAGGTCCTCCCGAGCCACGGTGCCCACACCACACTGGTTGGGGCAGGACACAGGCAGCCGTGGGCACTGGTACTGGTGACTCTGGGACCAGAAAAACAGTCAATAGCCTGCCTCCTTGTTACCACCCCACAACCCACAGCTTAGGAAGGGCCTCACCTGAATGGTGTCAAAGACAAACTCCTTGCTGCAGTAGGCACAAGGCTGGGTGCGCTTGGGGCACTCAGAGGTGGCATGCTGGGCCAGCAGACGCCGCATCATGCGGGCACCACACTTGTTCTCACAGTACACGCTCTCTTGGGGGCACATGCCCTCATGGCTCTGGAAATGTCAGAGAGGCTGAATTAAGGGATACCTGGGCCGCCAAGTGCCCCACTCCCTTCCACTCTCAGCTGGGCCCCACTGACCTCATAGGCCTCCCCACTGAAGTCACAGCCACAGAACTCGCATTTGAGGCGCCGCTTGGGGCAGTCGTGCTGCAAGTGTGCAGGCAGATCGCGGCGGCTCAGCTTGGAAGGGCAGCGATTGGGGCAGGGGACTACATTGAAACTGCAAGTATTCAGGTGGGCCTGGTGGGAAGGGCTGCAGTCAGTGCCTGCTGAGGGAGTATAGTCCCAGCCCTCCCCCCATCACAGTCTCACCTGTAGATGACGGAGTGGCCCACTCCAGCGGCAGCCCTCTTCACTGTGGATGCAGCGGATAGACAGACCTAGCACCTGGACCTCCAGCTCTGGGTCTGGGTAGATCTGGAAGCAGGGATAAGGAACCAGCCAAGGTCAGAGCTTGCTTCAGTCCCCAACTCCCACCCCTCCCCACCTCTATTTAATCTGGCTCAATTCTAGAGCCCTTAATAGCCTCTCTTGAGCTAAGGCCTCTCTCTTTTATACTGTTTGCCACTCTGTGCCCAAGGCACTTCCCTGCTGTTGTATCTCAGGGTCTCCAACATGCCTGCACAGAACCATGCTCCCTCCAGAGAGATAGTACTCAGTCCAGGCCGTGTCCCCCTCTGCCCTGTTTCCTAGCCCCTGGTGGAGGGCTCCTGGCCCTCAGCCACAAGTCTAACTTGCCCTGTGGCAAGGGGAAGGAGCACTTCTTAAGGACACAGAGCAGCTCTGTGCACCCCCACAGGCTGGGCATTGTGCCTGCCCTGCAGGGCAAACATAGCCTCCGTTTGCAAACTGGGCTGGTGGGAGAGAACAGGCTACCTTTGTGGGGGCACGCGATCTTGAGGCTCGGGGTTGACATTGGCCCTGAGCCCGCTGGCTGCTAACAGCAACAGCCCCCATCAAGGGCAACAGCTTTGTACCCTGTGCCTGGGTTATTTGGCAGTGTGGACTCACCTTGGCATAGTCCAGAGGAAGCTGGTCCTCGGGGCATTTGAAGACTCCTTCACTAAAATGGGGAGAGGACAGGGTCAAAGCTCTCCTTATGGGAAGGGAGAACATAGCCCCACCCTCTCAACCAGGACAGCCTCCCTCCCTCCCTCCTTCCCTCCCTCCCTCACCAGACCGGTTCCCAACCAGCCACAGCACAGACAAAGGGGGCAAGCAGAGGCCAGAGGGGAGCCAATTCCCTGTTCTGGGAATGGTAGTTCTGGGACCAGTGGAGGCAGAGCCAGCTGCCAGGATAGCACTTGGCCAACAGGTGGCAGCTGGTACCCCCTCCCCCAGGATAGCAGCTGGACTTAAAACAGGCTGCCCAGCTACCCCTTCCCCCCAGAGTGGTTTTCATTGGCTAGGCTGAAAGCTGATGAGAGGGTGAGCTGAGATGGGTTGGGATTTAAGTGCCAGGGCTGCTCAATCTCCACAACACTGCCAGCCTAAGAACCAGGGCAAAGGTTAGCCCCAGGCTACCTCACACCAACCATCCCCCCCCCCTCCTCTTTGAGGGTGTGTTTTCCCAAGCAAAGGCAAGAGGCCTGACACTCATTCTCAATCCTACCAGGTCCAGGTCCTCGCCACTTGTCTCTGAGAAGGGTTAATCTTCTCACTCAGAAGTCAAAGAAAGGAAGGAGGCTGGTCTATGACTCTGCAGCTCAGTCAAGGCTTTACTGTCACAGTCTCACAGACAGATACACACACACACACACACACACACACACACACACACACACACACACACACACACACACACGGCCTGGCTGATCACTGTTCCTCTGGCTTCAGGAGCTTAGTAACCCCACCCCCTGCCAGCTGCTCCCTAGTCCTCTCCGGTCCCCACCTGACTGTTAGCACCCAAGGAGCCCAGTGCCGGGCTTCCTCCTGCCAGCATGTCCTTGCTGACCCTGCCAGGACCAGTCATGCATGCCTGGTGTGGCCCAGGCAGGGCAAAGGCTCATTGAGCAGGACCTAAGCCCCCCTTCCCCCCCAGGCATGACATTCCTGGTAGGTTGGAATCAGATAGGTGGTAGGCAAGGTGGAAGCAGAGGCCACATGGCAGCCCTGTTCTGAAGGCACTTTTAGAGCCAGGACAATTTATGTCCCAGGTTCAGAAAAAAAGAGTTTCTAGTATCCCCTCCTCCTGACCCCACTATCACTGGCCATGCCACCAATGCCAAAACCAGTACATGCCCAGGCACTGAAGGTGTGCCTGTGCTAACAGTGCAACCAGACTTCCTGGCCCGACCTGAGTAATAGCCCTGGCAGGAGTGGGGAAAGAGGAGTGGGCCAAGGGGGGGGGGGGTCCACTTGGCTGCTTCAGGAATGTGCTGACCTAGTCGTTCTGGAGACAGGGAGGGGACTAAGGCAAGTCCCTAGGCTTCAGGCAGAAGCTTACCCTGCAGTTTGGGGCCCATCCAGGACAAAGGTTTAAGCCAGGACTATGGTCTACCTAGCTTGTAGGATAGAGGTGATGGTGAGGGACAGAGGCCTAGCCAACCTCTTCTCTCCAGAGGCCTCAGCGACGGAGCTCAGGCACTGGGGGGAGGGGGAGAGGTAGAGGCTGTTCTTGGCTGAGCAGTGGAGGCCCAGGCCCAGGGGAGAAGACAGGATGGGGGGAGGGGGCTGTAGGAGAGGAAGAGGGGATTTCCGGGAGGAGGAGGGGCAGAAGCTTTAGCTAGGGGACGGCGAGGGGAGCCAGGCCTGACAGTCCCCTCCCCCCCCTGCTCCTTCCCTGCGGCGGGTAAGGGTGGGTCAGCTGGAGGGGGGCTGGCTCAGCTGGCCTCATCTGGAAACCAGAAAGCGAAGGAGGGAGGACAATGGGCCCGTGTGTGTGTGTGTGTGTGTGTGTGTGTGTGTGTAGCAGAGTTAAGTGTGTACACGGCAGGGAGGAGGGAACAGGAGAGAGGGAGGAGGGGGCTCACAGTAGCTAGTGCGGGAGCATCTGCGAGGGCAGGAGCCGGGAGGCTGCGGGGAACCGAAAACAAAGGACCTGCTGAGATTTCCACCAGCTAGGGGCTGCCACCGCCGAGGGCGGGCGCACGGGTGCGGGGCCCCTCGGTCACACCAGACGCGCGGCTGACCCTAGCGTCCCCGGCGCGCTGGGGCGCCGCCTCCTCGGGACGGGCTCCCCACCGCTCCCCTTGTCTCGCCCCAGCAGTTCCCAGAGTGGACTGGAGACCCAAAGGAAACGTAATGGATGCCCCGGGGGGGGGGGGCAGAGGGGCAGCAGCTCTAACCCACGAGCGTGACCCTCCCACCAGCCGCACTCCACAGCCGCCCCGGGAGGGCGGAGGGACCCCCGAGGGATGCCTATTTCGGGGGAGGGGTGGAGGCCACGATCCTCCTCCCGGGACAGTGTGACCGCGTGCGGCCCGGGCTTGAATCCCGCCTAAGCCTTCTCCTGGGTGGCCTTGGGCAAGTCTCAGCCTTCCTCTGAATCTCTGAAATGGGAGAACAATGGCCACGGCACTGAGGCCAGCCAGAAGAGGTTAGACGAGGGAAAACACAGCCCCACCGCCGCGGCGGGGGCGGCCTCCTCCCCGCGCGATCCAAAGTTCACGGCCAACGCGGCCCGGCCCTCGGGGAGGGGGCAGGGCGTCTCTCCTGGCCCAGCCCCGCCGGGACGTCCAGAGTTCTCCCCACCTGGGCTGGGCAGGTGGGACCCGGGGCGCCGCCGGGGGGGAGGGAGGGGGAACAAACGCTGGGGAGGGGGGTGTCCTCCCTCGGGGCCTGACGTCATCGCCACCCCGTGACGTCAAGGCAGGCGCCCCTGGGGTCACCTGGCCGGGGCTCAGACAAAGGCCCGCCGTGCTCCCGGCCGGAGCCCCCGCGGGCGCCCCCCCCGGCCCGGGCCCGCCCCCCCGTCGCACCTGAGGAACTCCTGCAGGCAGGTGTCGCAGAAGCGGTGGCCGCAGGTGGAGACCTGCACGGGCTCGCGCATGGGCTTCCCGCACAGCGGGCACAGCAGCCGCCGCTTGGGCTTCTCCAGGAACTTGTAGTCGAAGCCAGGCATGGCGGGCTCAGCCGCGGGCACGGGCGAGCGGGGCCGGGGCACGCGGC